TGTTTGCATATTCTGCAGCCTTTAAGATCTGCCTACACATGTAGCCGGAAGTTGCTTCATTCTCCCAAAGTAAGATTTTTAGACAAAAATCATGTCCTCAGTCACAAATTTTTTTGTTACCATAGTGATAAGAATAAAGAATGAAAAAAAAAGCTAAAAATACCTGAAGACAGTTTCAGAAATGTGACCCACTTGGTGTTGTACACTAAAGTAGTTAATCAATTGAATTAGCTACATATGCGTTCAGGTGAAATATTATACTAGATGAAAAAATGCGTAGGTTGCACATCTGGAGCTATTATACACAATCAAAGAAGTCAGTATGAATGAAGATGACAGACAATCTAAAATGCATAAAATCAAATTCTTTTAAGAATAGAATATATACCAGAAGCAAATAGGAATCCATTAATTTAGCTCCTTCTTGCATCAATTTTCTGTTGTCTTTTCGTATTTTAGAATATCTCCTCCATTTTAAATTAAATCTTATTATGCATCAAAAAGTGTTGTAGCTGGATGGACCAATATAATTAGACACATTTAAAATTACATTGGAGTGGCCCCTTTCTGTAAAGGGAAGTTTCCCAATCTTCTGCATCATAATAAAAATATGCTTTTAAATTAACTTTTCTTTGGAAAATTTTAGTTTAAATAAGAATCTTAACAGACACAATCATTTACAGAAAAATCTAACATATTGCCAGGCATTAAGCTAGTCTGTGAAACATGAATAAAAGGCAGCTCTTGCTATCAAGAATGTTTTAATCATCTATCTAATTTTTTTATAACATTGATTTTTAAAATGTCTGCACAGAGTAGAATGGAAAAAGCATTCACCTTAACTCGAAGAGAGCAATATTAAAGTTCCAGCTCCATCAATGAGCTTAGAAAAGTCTCTTTCTAAGCCTCAGTTCTCCCATCCATAAAATATGTATAAACAAGCATATCACCTCCTCTAGCATGTAGATCATTATGATAATCAAAAGAGATGATATGGGTAGAAACCAATTGATGGCATTCAATATAAAATCTCTGTTAAAATGAGTCATTATACAATTTTGTTTAATTTTTAAACATTTTCAAAATAAAGATAATTATAAATGTTTATTTTCATAATTAAGAATATGTGAGAATTACTTATGAATAATAACAAACTTTTATTGCACACTTACAATGGACCACATATTTTACATAATTATTTCATTTAAGCCTCATAACAGTCCAGTGACTTAGATATTATCTTCTTATTGTAGCTGAAAAAAGTGGGGTATAGGAGGAACATATAACTTGTCCAAAGACAGCTAGAAAGTGGTAGTATAGGGAATTAAGCCCAGGCAAGTTAACCCCAGAGCCATGCTCTAAATCTAAGCCATTATGATATATTCTAAAATACTGAGTAGAGAAAAATATCCCTATGAAGCTGTTAATTTGAAAAAAAATACATATTTTAAATTACTAACACTAGTCATATATTTTTTAACTACTTGATTAGTTATATTTTGCTGCATTTAATTTTTTTATTTTATTATTATAAGAAAAATGAAAACAACTTAAATGTATAACAATAAATACATTATAGAACATCCATATGGCAGATTACTACTCTGTCAAAAATAACACTGTAAAAATTATTTGTAGTTTTGAAACTGATGAGTATTGTTAAACAAAAACAATATGTTCAAACTGTATATGGAAAATCTGGATTTTCATAAAATAATGTCATATTGACAGAAAAACTTAGAGAGATAGTTAATGTTAACAATTGCTATATCTTCAAAATTTTATATACTTTTATATTTTTCAAATTTTCTATAATTAAAATTAAATACTTTTATCATTAAGAAAAAGTCACTTAACCTAAACTGAAGCACAAAGTGATGTAGATGCGTCTACAAATAGGTGAACAAATATTTATCAAAGTCTAAAAAGTTGTTCCAGATATTAGGATACAGCAGTGGCAAAAGAAAGTCCATAGGTAAAGAATTGTGTAAATTTGCACTAAGAATGAAAGAAGAGAACACCAAACATATAATGAAGCATCCATCTTTACATTCTGATTTACTCACACCTGCGTACTAGTATGTGAGCCCTTTCTTTAGATTTAAAAAAAAAAAAGTCTTGAAATGTTTGTTTCACTTCCTTACCATCTCTTCTCAATTACATTGTGGTGACATTATCTCTAAACACAGTAGAAAGCCAGAGCATGAGTATATAAATAGAAAGAAAAGCTAACAAACAAAAATCAGTTGCGTTTCTCTACATTAACAAAAAATTATCTGAAAAAGAAGTTAAGAAAACAACTCCCTTTGCAATCGCATCAAAGAAAATACAATATTTAGGAATAAATTTAACCCAAGAGGTAAAAGATCTGTACACTGAAAACCATAAGACACTGATTAAATAAACTGAAGACACAAATAATTGAAAAGATATTGTGTTCATGAATTAGACCTTACATTGTTAATATGCCTATACTACTCAAAATGATCTATTGATTCAATGCAATCCCTATCAAAATTCCAATGGCATTTCATAAAAGCCAAACCTAAATTACATGAAACTATAAAAGTTCCTGAATAGCTAAATAAATCTTGAGAAAGAAGAACAAAGCTAGTGGCATCACATTTCCTGATTTCAACCTATATTTAAAAGCTATAGTATTCAAAATAGTATGGTACAGGCATAAAAACAGACAAATAGACCAATGGAATAGAATAGAGAGCCCAGAGAAAAACCCATGCATTTATATACAACTAATTTTTGACAAGGGTGCTAAGAATACACAATAGGGAATGGATAGTTTTTACAATAAATGGTGTTGGGCAAACTTGATAACCACATGCAAAAGAATAAAATCAGATGTTTATTTAACACCATATTTAAAAATTAACTTGACATGGATTAAAGACTTAAATGTAAGGTCTGAAGCCACAAAACTTCTAGAAGAAAACAGGGGGAAAGCACTGTGATGGCAATCTTGGCTATGGTTTTAGTTTTTAATATGACCCCAAAAGCACACATGACAGAAGCAAAAACAAACAAACAAAAAACAGTTGGGCACAGTGGCATGTGCCTGTAGTCCCAGCCACTCGGGAGGTTGAGGCAGGAGGATCACTTGAGCCCAGGAGTCCAAAACTAGCCTAAGCAACTTAGATCCCAGTCTCTATCATAAAAAATAAGAATAATTTTTAGAAAACAAGTGGGACTACATCAAACTAAAATGCTTATGCACAGCAGAGGAAACACAATCAACAAAATGAAAAGAAAATCTGTAGAATGCGAGAAAATATTTGCAACCCATATGTCTGATAAAGGATTTATATCCAAAATAAATGATAAACATACAACTTAATAGTAAAAACCCCCAAATAATTCAATTCAAAAATGGCCAACAAACCTGAATAAGCATTTTTCCAAAGAAGATATGCAAAAGGACAACAGGTATATGATCATCAGGGAAATGCAAGTCAAAACAACAGTGAGATATTACCTCACACCTAGTATGATAGCTATTATTAAAAAGACAAGAGATAGCAAGTATTGGCAAAAATGCAGAGAAAAGGGAACCTTTCTACACTATTGGTAGAATGTAGATTGGTATACCCACTATGTAAAATAGTATGGAATTTCCTTAAACAATTAAAAACAGAACTACCATAAGATCCAACAATCCTACTACTGGGTATATATCCAAAGAAATGAAATCAGTTTGTTAGAGATATCTGTACCTCCATTGCAGCATTATTCACAATAGCCAAGATAAGAAAGCAATATAAGTGCCTGTCAACAAATGAATGGATTAAAAAAGTGGTATTATACACAATGGAATGTTATCGACCTTTAAAAATAAGGAAATTTTGTCATTTGTCACAATAAAGATGAACTTGGAAGACATTATGTTGAGTTAAATAAGCCAGATATGGAAACACAAACACTGTGTAGTCTTACTTATATGTGAAATCTATAAAAGTTGATATAAAAGCATAGAGTTGGATGGCAGTTGCCAGGGCTGAGGGTTGGAGGGAATTAAGGAGATGTTGGTCAAAACATACAAATTTTTGTCTTTCAGTTTGAAAGACAAATAAGTTCTGGGGATCTAATGTACAGCATGGTGACTGTAGTTAATACTGTATTAATTACCTGAAATTAGCTAGGAGAATAGTTCTTACATGTCCTTACCACACACTCACACTCACACACACACACACACACACAGTGCCTATGGATGGTGATGGATATGTTGATTAATTTGATTGTGGTAGTCATTACACAATGCATATGTATCTGAAATCATCACATTACATCTTTAATATAAACCATTTTAATTTGTCAATTATACTTCGATAAAACTGGGGAAAAAAAGAAAGAAAAGCTGAGAAGAATCTTAAGAAATTAAAGGAAAATTCATTGAGATTTTTTTCATGCTTTTGTGACAATTTACATCCTCTTATTAGTCTTTAGTGAAGAGAGAAATCTTGCTCCATTTAAATTATTAAATATTCCCATAAACAATATTTTTCACTTATTATTCAGAAAAGAAATGATTTTCTGTGAAACTATATTATATTGAAATAGCTTACAATGTTTACACATTTTAACTTGACCGTGTTCTCCAGTACCAAATCTAACTATCCAGGAGAAAGCCTCCTAGCATCAGTATTTAAAACACGATGGTTTAAAATATACTCAACTTGATGTAACTTATTTTATATCAAAAAACACCTAAAAACTATAAAAATGAAAACCATCTCTTCCATCTTCCTCCAAAAAACCTGTATTGTATTAACTTCTTTTAACCTACTTTTCAAATATTTTCCTTTACAAATATTAAGATCAGATACAAATAAATTTGAGGGAAAGGACTTATAAAAAAAGTTTAGTAAAAGTAAGGGAAGGAATGAAGAAAGGAAGAGAACAACTGAGGCAAGTTGGGAAAGAGAAAAGAAGAAAGTTGAAAGGAAAAGGCGAAAAATAAGAAAAAGAAATGAGAAACTACTCACCTTGATGGACCAGGTCCCAAGTATCATCAATTTGTTTCTGAGTTGGGAAATGTCCACAGTCACTGAAGAAATTGGGGAGCTCACTTCTTTCCATTTTTGGCCAATATTCCCTCTTAGCAAATATTATTTCATAGACTAAAAGGACAAAAATGTAAAAGAAAATATTTTTTAAACAATATATCAAGTAAAAAACGTTAACTCTAGCTTTACTTTCCTGTCTACCAATAAGTCTCCATGATTAGTCTAGCACTATGTCGACCTTCTGGCAAAGGTTAGAAGGAAGTGGGCATGTTTCTCTCTCCTCACATTCCACAGTAGTGAAATTTTTACTTGATTCCCCAAGATGAATACTGGCACCTTCTATACTGGCTTCATGACAGTTGACGATAAATCCTATAATGTCAACTCAACCATGTCATAAGACGTAGCTTTTATATCAGGACTTCTGAGGACCTGACACCTACTGATCCACTTCACTCTTCATTGTTTATTAGCTGCTCTACTTTTTTCATCTCTTTTTGGCTTTTACTCACATTCTAACTACTTAAATTGGTAATTCCACTTTGGATGGCTTATTCTGTTTCTAAAGTTGGCCCCTAATTGGGAGCAATATCTACTTTTTGCTCACTAACTTCATGTATTTCTACTTTCACATTTAAGGTACTTTGTCATTCCTGGCTCAAGACTACCACAGAAAACCACTCAGTTGGGCCACCTGTCACTTATCTCCCATACTTGACTTTAGAAAGGAGTTAGATAACGAGCAAGACAATTGATGCATACATTTTATAAGTGTAGTTTTCCGTAAATAATTTTTTTCTTTTTTCAAAAAAGTGACATTGAGTTTCTACTTTGAAATATGCTACATTTAACCCCATGAAGCTGATTGTATAAGTCAACATTTACAGGATGTCAGCGACTGCTCAAATACAGGTTTAGCTCCGACTGCCAATGGCAAAGGGCACCAAGGTGGTTTCTAACAGAAGATATATCATCCTGGCACTCAACCACATGGATTTCAGTTTTTCTATTCATTCATTCATTCATTCATTTAGTTGAGGGAGATAGCTATGAGACATCAACAGATTCAAGACATATTTAGTGATTGTCTAAATATGAATAGCTATTTGAGATCCTAAAACACAGCAGTACAATAAATGAAAATTTATATTTAGTGTATGTATGACTATTTGTCTCTTTTGAAATAAGCAAACTAGAGCAGTTTCTTTCAGTGTCCCATCCATATCTCCTTGTCCCTTAATTCTGTGCATGCTAACTTGATGTTCAGTTGCCAGCATCTGCATTCCATTGCCTAAGGGCTCCCTCTGGCTACAGGCCTTCACACAACCCATCTATGCACCAAGCAGTGGGCCTCAACCAGACTCAGGAGTTGGCTGAGAAAGACCCAGCACTCAAGTTGTTTACACTGTTTTTTCTGAGTTCCCTAGAGGGATTAAGCTCCAGTTGTCCACGTGGTAATTTGCTTGATATTGCACTCTTTTTTGACCCCTCTCCCTTCTGTCTCCTTTCTCCATTCCATTAACATTATTGCCTAGTATTAACTCCCAAGCAAATTAGTTGTACTTGAATTACTGTCTCAGCATCTGATTCTAAACTAAAACAAAAAGAATATCACCTTTTACTTTTGTGATTAAGTAAATGTATTTCTCCTTGTAAAAGTATATAGCCCTTTATTAGTTTCTCCTTGAATTAATCATTTTATATGTTTCTCACAAGATAATATTGACATACCTATTAATATTATGGCTTTGAAACTATATAATTGATAACAGTGCCCTTAACCTGTATATTATGCCCTATGAGCAAACTTTCAGCAACATGAAAGGAGAATTAGTATTCAAGGATGATATACCTAGGGTAAATACAAAATTTAAATCACAAAAATTAATGAAATTTTCTGATAATTGAAAGATGCTTAAAAAGTTATATAGGTATCTGCCAAATATCACCCAATTAGCCATCAACACATGGAAAAGATGAAGAATTTTCTAAGTAACATGAAGACAAATTAGAACTTGCAAATTCTGTCTCTATTGAGTTACTTTACCCCTCAATGTAAATGGATGCTCTGGTTGGTAATTCTTTAAATTATTCATTTACCAAATTCTGTTCTACTGTTCAGCTCCCATGTTGGACAGACCACCATCTGTCCTAACTGGACTCCTTTATTCTGTTTTTGCCACATGTTAGCCTATTCTCAACAAAATTACCAGAGTGATGTCTGCAACACAAGTTGCTTCATAGTCCTCTGTTCCCAATCCTCCAATGGCTTCCCAGTTCTCTCAAGGTAAAATACAATGATCTATAAAGCTTGACAAAACCTGTGCTCCCGACTACCTTTCCAATTCCATCTTGCTCTGCTCTCCAGTCACAAACTTCATTCCAGTAATACTAGTCTCCTGGCTTCCTCCAAGACTAGCAGCCTCCAAATTAAGGCCTTTGTGCTTGCTGCTGCCTCTCCTTAGAACCTTCTTCCTCCCATAGTCCACCTGACTTATCTCTCACTATCTATAAGACTTTTACTCAAAAAACTTCTCAGCTAGAAAGCACCAGAGTCCAGGATGGAAAACAGAAATCACATTAATTATTTTTTTCAAACTGAGGGGATATTTCAGGATGCAAAAATATTGAAATCTGCAGTTACAAATTGAGAAGGAGAAATCATAGAAAGAAAGTAAAGATATGAAAAATAAGCAACATTCCATAATGTGAAAAAAATCAATTTAGTGATAGTTTGGGGTATGCAGAGAAGACTAATTGAGTAAAATAGTAGGAGCATTTTGGAAAGGATATGTGATTTGGAAGTCAGTAGCTAAAAATTAAAGTGGATGGAAAAGAAAATTTGGCCAGTGTAATAACTGTAAGGTTTTAGTATATATTGTGGTATTATAAAATCAGTACATTCATATTAGATTATATAATATAAACTACTATTCATAAAAAGAGTACTAAGATATTCCTGAATTTTGTACTAGTGGTATGGAGAGTTTATGGGCAAAAGTCTTAAAATCTGACTCTCTCTCGGTTCTATAAGTAAAAGGAGTCCAAGTAGCTTCCTAATGGGAGAGGGATCTTCTCTTTTTCTGCCTCTCTCTCTCTTGCACTTTCTCATTCTTTCTTCTTCCTGTCTTCCCATCTCTCCAACACTTTGCTCCTTTCTGCTCTTTTCTCTAGAAACCAGGTTGTTGGGCTGGACTGGGTGAATTAATCTAGCAACCTCTGACTTACATAGAACAATCTCTCTTTCTCTTTTCTCTTTCTACTCTCTCTCTGACTTCCTCCCTTTACCTCTAGCCACAGAAAAGAAACTATTCTAACTCAAAGAGTTCTGGTTAACTGTAAATAGCTTTTAGCACATAATTTTATCATAACTTAATGAAAACTATCATTTTAACAAATATTTTTTAGTCCTTCTTATAAACCAGGCATTTGCTAGATAGTATTTACTGATAAATATAACAGACATAATCCCTTTCTTCATGGAACTTAGTCTTAAATGTAAAATAAATACTGTATGACTAGCTGAGACTACCAACATTTTCACATTTTTACCTTATAAAGCAGCAAGACAATGATTGCAATTAAATATAATTTACTTGTATCTTTTTTTAGTCAAGAAACTGGCTCTAATAATCTATCCTAATCCTAAGCAATACTGAATTCATTAAATATAAATATAAATTGGAATCTCTGAAAATTAAGATATAAATTAGAGAATTTGTTCTATGAATAGAATTCTAACACTAATAAGCAATATGTTGTTTAGTATGCTCAGTGTCCATTAACTACTATTCTGGTATAAATACTTAATTTTCCTTTGTGCAGCTATCCCTCCTCCAATGAAGAGTTTCGGTGCAACTCTCAAGCAAGATTCCCTACCCTCCCATTGCAAAGTGTTGGATTTGTGACTCAAGCTATACGTATCGGTTGCTATCTCCCTGGAATATGAATTTAAAGCATAGCAACAAAGAGTCTTTAAGTGGTAAGGGTTTATCCATCCCCTAGAGGCAAATTGAGATTGTCCCTTATTTCCTCCTCCCTAGATCTCTGAAGCAGTTGTGTTTAATATTCAGTCTGAAATCCAACTCTTTAACTATCTTTGCAATATTCTCCCGTTAAATTTCCTTTTTGCTTTGGTTAGCTAGAATGAGTTTTCTGTTACTTGCAGAGGATCCAAATAAATTAATTCAAATATACAACATGCTAGCTTAAAATGCAAATTGCTTACAGCAATATAAAATATAATCTACCTTTGCTTTCTACAGGTAATTATATTTAAAATTTCCATGGTTAAATTAACTCCAAACTTAAATTCAAACCAGAAGTGTCTGCATCACTTACATTTTTTTCGGTCCATCCATTCCTCTAGCTCTGATAAGTTGACAATTTGTCTTGTCCTCCAAAGACCACGTCGATATCTAACACGGTGGATTAGTCTGCCATACATGTTAATAACTGCTTTCATATCCGGTCCATGATATAAAGCCTACAAAGACAAAAAAGCTCCTTATATATTTCTGGTATTTATATTTAATATGACTTGCCTCTTTCATTTAGTCTATTTCACCTAGTTTCTTAGATTATGGGTATATTTATTGTTGGTTGCCCAGGTTGGTTAAATATATGCATTGTAGAGTAACACAATCTCCCTGTAGTTCAGAGATTTCCATTATGAGTTGCTTTGTTATTATATATTCATACTTCCCATAGAATAGAGCTTCCAATATTTGCTTCTTTCACAGACACTTCCTACACTTGTGTCCGGATTTCTATAATATGTAGCCTACTCTGCCAGAAACGATGTAGTCTTACTAAAGTATTATTCTGTAATGGATGATTCTTGTCTAAGCAGTCCACCCTGGTTGCTCAAATCTTCCTCTTTTATTTCCTTTGGAAATTGTACATTCATGTCCTTTACCTATTTTTCCCTGGGCTTTTTAAGGTTTTGTTGTTGTTGTTGCTGATTTCTAAAAATCTCTGAATATTCAAGAAATTAACCCTTTTCAGCATATATGCACATTTTGCTTTATTAGTTTACCTGTGACTACATTCTTCTGTGTATGCATTTTCAACATTCCACCAGAACAGTTTTTTTATTAAAGTTTTAAATATTTACCTATTTTGTATTTGTTTTCTCTTTTCTAAAGAGCAATTCCCTTTTAGTTAACAAGTCAACTTTTTTTACATTTTACATTTTCTGGCTTATTAATGTCTCTATATATCTTTATTAATTTACTTCTAAATAATATTTAGATTTATTTTCCTGTTCTTGACTTCTTAAAGGCTTAATTTTTAAAATTTTCATTAGTTCTTATTTGTTTAGGAATGTGTTTACATTTACACATTTTCCAGTGAGTAGGCTTTCCTTTTCTGTGTTTTGCATACCATATTATAAATGAAAAAACTGAAGCAGAAAATCTTTAAATAATTTTCCCAAGACCCCATAGCCAGTAAGTTGTATAATTGGTTTTGAAACCAGCATAGAGACATTTGAGAGCCCACTTAACTATACTCTACATTCCTTTTAATTTAGTGTTTTCATCCATTCTTTTTTTTTTTTTTTTTTTTTTTTTTTTTTTGAGACGGAGTCTCGCTCTGTTACCAGGCTGGAGTGCAGTGGATGCAGTGGTGTGATCTCAGCTCACTGCAACCTCTGCCTCACGGGTTCAAGCGATTATCATGCCTCAGCCTCCTGAGTAGGTGGAACAACAGGCACCCGCCATCATGCCCGGCTAATTTTTGTATTTTAGTAGGGATGGGGTTTTACCATGTTAGCCAGGATGGTCTCGATCTCCTGATCCGCCCACCTTGGCCTCCCAAAGTGCTGGGATTACAGGCATGAGCCACCGCACCTGGCCGTGTTTTCACCCATTCTACAGGATTTTTTTGTTTGTTTGTTTCCTAGCATATTTCATATGACACATTAATTAATTTATGTATTTATCTATGTATTGTTTTGAGACGGAGTCTCACTCTGTTGCCCAGGCTGGAATGCAGTGGCGGGATCTCAGCTCACTGCAAGCTCTGCCTCCCAGGTTCACGCCATTCTCCTGCCTCAGCCTCCCAAGTGGCTGGGACTACAGGCGCCCGCCACCATGCCCAGCTAATTTTTTATATTTTTAGTAGAGACGGGGTTTCACCATGTTAGCCAGGATGGTCTCGACTTCCTGACCTTGTTATCTGCCCAAAGTGCTGGGATTACAGGCGTGAGCCACCGTGCCCGGCCCATATTACACATTATTTTTCTTGTTTCTGTCATGTTATTTTCTTTTTACGTGAAATAATATTTTTTGTTTACTTGAATGAAAAATAAATTAGCATAATTTTACTACCTTCCTCTTCTCCTTTCTCCTTCCATCTAATAGCAGATTCTGGATGTTTGCTAATGTCTCTCAACATTTAATAGCATTTTTCAATGTGTGTTTTTAATCTGCCTTTTGTTCAATAGGCTTTTGTCTTTTAAAAAGATAATAAATTGGTTGCACTTTTGGCACATTCCCTACATATGAATCTTAGTGGGAGGCAGAACCCACTTCCCACAATTTGAAGCCAAAAGTCAGATGCTTATGACTCATACCTCTTCTGTTGCTAGGATGTAGACACGTGAACTTCACCATTAACTCCACCAATCCCAAACTTTGAATGGAAACAAATAATGCTTTTAAGAGTGAAACAGTGGGAAATCTATTTGTGTGATAGAGTAACTGTAGCACAAATATACATTTTTCAAGGGCAGCATTTGTGAAGTCAGGAACACCCAGGATTCAGTGTCTGCATCAGACTCTTTCTGTATAGGATTTGGCTGGATTACTGGGAGCTACTCAGCCTTTACTATTCCTTTATGTTTCTGAACTTAGTTCTCTACACCTGTGTACAATATCCTCCTCAACATCTTTCTGCTTAAATCTGTAACTGGATTTCTTTTGCTTATAATTAAGAATCAAGCAGTGTTTTGACTGTATCTTTAAAACATGAAGAGAAAAGTTCCCGCTTGGAATGTGCTACTTGGACAGATGATGTCTCTGAGAAAAGGAAGGGCATTGGGCAACCACTTACTTCAATTTGAGTACCTTTTCCTCTGAATGTAATAACTCTTTTGGGCAACACAATCTATCTTGTAAGGGAGCCCTTTTCAGATCTCAGGCATTTGGAAGGTCACCTAGGGCGTTTCATGGTTAGGAAGTTGAGCCAGAGAAAATTACAATGGTCCATCCATGTGGTTTTTATTACAGGGAGTGTCCCTACCAGCCTTTTGCATGGAAATATGCTTCAGCTATTGTGCTACTACATTTCAGTATGTAAATCTTTCACTATAAGTCTAAATATTTCTCAAGGTAGAATTTATCAGAAAAAAATACAAATTTCTACTTACAACAGCAATATTGCAATATAGTTATGGCAAATTACTGATTATAATATTCAAATTTCTATTATCTTAATGGACAAATGTATTATACCTATCAACATTTAATAAAATTTTCCAGTATTTATTTCAATTTGCTTTTGCTTGATATGGTCATGTCTTTTTTTTCTTAAGTAATTTATTCAACTTTTGGAGAATTCCGCCATCATATGACACTTAGTATGACTTCATTTCCGTTAGTGTGTTTCTTATCAGTTTGGAAGAGATCTTTATATGTTAGGTTTTTTAAACTTTGTGTCATATTTCAGCAAATATATTGCCAGTTTGACTTTTTAACTTTGAAAAAGAAATGCTATAAACCTATAAGAAGATATCTTGACCACATTTATTGAAGTCTAACCTTATCTAAGCATTTAGGTATGAAAATATCAAAAAGGTCTTTATTCAAAAGTCTTATAAAAACAAAACGGAAAATTTTTTAAATGACTAAACCTATACACAGTGAAATAATAATTGAACATTCTAAATCGTTATCTCAATCTCATATGCATAAACACACACTTACAAATATGCAAGCCACAAATACCACTATGTGTGAATCTTATATTCACTTCCCCATCCACTAAGAAACTAGTGAAGACCTTATTCCATGCATAGCTAGTGGACATGTGTCTCTCCTAGGTTTGGTTCCTCTTGCACTTTTTCAGGCCTCTCCTCTGTGTCCATGTTGCTTGCTGTACTCATTTTGATCTGAGTCAAAGAGATTATTTTTACCACTATCTGAAGCATATGCCTCAATCACTCTACGTCTAATTGCTCAGTACAGAAACTTAAATAAACATTCTTGGTCAACTTTATCATTAAATATAAATAAAAGTATATTGTTTCCCCCACAGTGTACTCTGAAAAACGTTAAATAGCAGCTCCTAATTGCCATAGAAAGGGTACCTCTCTACAGGCCGTGGTTTTTATCTTCATGTTTCTGGTGTGAGCTCACCTGAATTAGCTCTATTAGCACCAGGTGGGAGTATTATCTAGCGTTGGCTTTTGGCAGGAAACTCCAAACATTGGAGTTTCCTGACCTGAGAAAAGACTCCACCATTTGCAATGATTGGACAATTCTGGTACCAGAATGGTCTCATGTTTTACAGTGCTCTGGAGCTGGACAGACTTATGTTTGATTCTCAAAATTCATTCTCATCTATGTCACTTGCAAGATGTCCAACTTTGGGTAATTATGTTACATCTCCATGCCTCGTTTTTCACAATTACTAAAGAAAATTATACAACCTGGAGAAATGATACCACCCCAATTCTTGATCACCAACCTCAGTGAGGTTCTCAAAGTGGCCTGGAATTTCATGCATGCTTTTTAAGGCATCTCTCTGCCATTTTCTGTAGTACCTCAATCTCCTCAAACATTCAAACCCATCTAAATGCTTACTCTCACCAAATGGCCCAATTCCTTACTTCACAAATGAAGAAAAAACAATTAGTTTATTGCAACCTCAACTTCCCACCAGCAAGTCTAAATACTTAACTGCATCTACATATCTTCTTCTCCTGCAACAATGCAGAAATATGTTTCCTCTCACTTAACGCTAATCTTGTCAAGTATCTTGGAAATCCACCCCCTCCAATCTCCTTAAAGGCCTTATAATACAGATTATCTTCATCTTTCTTGTATTGACAACCTTTCCCTCTTACTGGCTTCTTCCAATGAGCATTTAAGCATACATAAATATTTTTTATCTTAAACTATCCTTCTCTAAACCTCATAGTGCCTCAATTTATCTACTGCAGATGTTTTCACTGCATGAACTTACTGTTACTAGAGCCAGAAAATTCTGTCTAGCAGCATTGGAGACTGTGGACCTAACCCTCTTCCTTCTACTGCCTTTCAAGTGCCTTGATGTAGCATCTTCTGGTTTTCTTCTTACCTCTCTGGTTACTACTTTCATGTTTGTGGAATACTCATCTTCTGCTTCCCTTTGAACGCCAACCAGTTTCTCTCAATCTTTCTTTGTAGGATTCTCTCTTTATATAGTCTCCCTAGACAATGACATGGACTCTCATGCCTCCAGTTAGTATCAGTAATGATGATTCTCAAATCTATGGGTGGC